TTGTTAAATACTGTTGTAGGATCTGGGAGGCGTATGTTGGATTTTTGTGTCTTGCTAAAATTGCTGTGTCATCTGCATATGTCGCTGTTAACATGTTGGGACTGCAAGGTATGTCATGGGTGTATGTGAAATAGAGTAGTGGAGCGAGTACTGAACATTGAGGTACTCCTGCTGAGACAGACCTGATGGAAGATAATTCTGAGCCGTGTCGGACCAAGAAAAATCTATCGGAAAGGAAGGATTGTAGAATTAGATAATATGTAGGTGGGAGTATTGTCTTGAGTTTAAAGAGAAGACCGTGGTGCCAGACTCTGTCAAGCGCTTGAGCAACATCCAGAACTCCCAAGTTTATAACTTAAAAAATGTAATTGCCTGATAACTTCAATGCTAACAATATAACAATGTTGTCCTCAACATTAAGAGAAAGATAAAAAACTATTTGATTACAGGATTTTTTTTTCTATTTGTAATAGCAATTGGCTTAACTAATTATTTTTACTACCATTTTATACTGGCCCTACTCATTTTTTATTTTGTATTATTGTTTTTTTAATTTTATTTAACGTCGCTTAGCCATTAGCCACGACTGTTCTTAAATATGATGAATCAATTTTATTATTTTTAAGTATTTAAGGTTTTTTTTCAATGCCACTTCTTTCTTTAGATGGTGCTGTGTTTTTAATTTTGAATTTAATTTGTTTTTTTTAAAGTTTTTTGCATCGGAAAAAGATTGCACCGTGAGATGTTCATTGTCACATGTTTGGACAATCCTGGAAACAGATGCAATCCTACTACTTTTAAATAACACTTTCTGTTATTTAATTAAATAAGTTTATATTTTTTATTCACAATTCTTATACTTGCAAAAGATAATTAAAAAAATTATTAAAAAATATAATTAAAACAGGAACGAATTTATATAATTTAAGCTAATTCGTATGCAGTTTGGTTTAACATATTGTTGTAACGAAATTGTATTCCTTAATCATTTTTATCTCAAAAAAATAAACTCTTTTTATTTTGTATTTTTTTAAACAACTCCTGCATTGTACTTTCGTGTTATTTGACTTTAGTTATATTACCTTTTTTTTTGTAAATAAATTATATTCTGATATGGTAAAGTATTCCTCAGAGGGTTTTGATGCAAGTCCAAATTTCCCAAAAAATGTTTGCTATTTGGCAATATAGATGTTTGAATCGGACACTAATACATTGATTCTCTCATATATTGTAAATAATGTAAGCTACATAAAAACAGGTTAGCTGAACACCAATGTTAAATAAGTAGTATCTTTAAGATAAAAAAAAAAAAAACTTTCTGGATCGATTGATTTATTCAAAGTCTAATGCTACATGCTATACGACTCTAAACTAACATTTGTGAACCTGAACAAACCTGGTTCATGCATCAAGACCTTCAATTATTTAATCTATTTGTAGAGTTCTATAAAAATTTACTAACTTTAGTTTTATAGGATTTCGAGAAGCCATTAAATAACAGCATAATTACAAAATTACAATAAAAAATTATCACTTTATAACAAAGCTGAAAATTGAAAAAATATCAAGGTCTACTTAAATAACAAAAAGGTTTGACACCTTATTCAAATAACTGTTACTGATATAAAGATCAGATAATTACTACATTTATCAGTCTTTCCGGTTAAATTAACCAGTGAAAAAATAGATGTTGAAAAATAAACAGAATGCTGAATAACCATCTTTAGATTTTCATATATATATATATATAGTTTAACTTTAAAACAACTATTACTTGGAAACAGCAGTTAAAAATAACCCATTTTTAATTAGCAGCCCATCTCCTTCTCTTGTGATTTGTTTTTTTCGTTGTCCATATTTACTTTCCAGACAATATTATAAATCTAAACTAAAGATAACAATATATATATATATATATGAACCTAAACATTCTCTTTTCCCGCATCTTTGAATTTCTATGAAATTTATTATGAATATCATTTATATGTTTCGTTTAGGATAGTTTATATTTAATAATTAGGTGACGATGGTTATAATTTTGTTATAAATGAAGATTATCCTAAAAGTTTTTGTTCTCTTTAATTATTTATCAGCAACTGTCATGGTGTTGACAATCAGCTAAAAAATTAAAATGAATTTCTCAGCAACTTCGATTTAGTAGAACAATATTCGTTAAAAAATATTTATTGTTGTACTATGATGCCACTAGGGAGTGATTTATTTGATTTTTTAAGAAATCTGAAAATATTTTACTTTCTCAATTAAAAATTGTTTGACTTTAGGAAATATTAATTAATTCCTCGTCTAATTAATTTAATATTTCGCCTTTTTACATACGAGTATGTTCCCTTTAACGCATTATTGCATCGTTCAACATTCAATAAATGATTCATAAGGGAGACGTGGTGGGATTGATGTGGATGTTTCCCCGTTCCATTCTCAAGCAGTCAGTAGGACAAATAATTTTATAAAATATTTTATAACTTCTGAAAAGTTATTATAATATGTATATTATAATTAAAACTGTAGTTTTACATTTATTATTCAATCATCATTATAATTCGGATAAAAACAAAGATTGCCCAGGAACAAGTAGAGGCCTAAGGTACAATCATATTAATTGTATCTCGGCTCATTTCTTATTTTGGAAATAATTTTATTTTTTTAGTCGAAATCTGATGATGAAATCATTTAAAAATTAATATAGTACCTTCAATTTTGGTTTTTTAACTTTTAAAATTCACTGTTATTTTTTAGAGGTACACCCATCTCCCCTACTGTTATTTAAAGCTATAAAGTTTGTTGGTTAGAGCGAGCTAATCCCATTAACACCTATTTGAAAAATTATTTTTGCGCTAGATAGAATGCATGATTTAGGCTATTGCCGTTTCAAAAATCAATCTACAATAATCGGCAACGTTTTAAATGTATCATTATTATAAAACTGAAAGGAAGGATATAACTAGCTATTCCGCGTGGCTTCGCACTCTTTGAATTTGTCTAATATTAAATCACTGAATTCTACCCTTTATTGAAGCTATCCTTTAAAACGTTCTAGCTCGTGGTACAGACCCTTTTTTATCAAATTACTAACAACCACCGGAAACTTCGTAAATATCTTCATCTCATCGTATCCTACAAATATTTTATTTACGAAAATTCTCGGAATTGGGGCGTTTTCAATCTGGAGATCGGCAAACTTTGTCTATTTAATTAGGTCATAAAAACTTGAGAATACCCATTTTCTTCCCATTTTAATCATAAGATAATATGATCACAGAGTCGAAAATAAAAGGTGGCTTACAAAAATATTAGTCCATTTGGCGTGATCTCCACTCCCCAAATGTGAAAATAACGAGATTATATAGACCAAACGGCCCAATATTTTTGTAGGTCCCTTTTTTTTTTTTTTAGATTTTGTGATCATAATATGATTCAAGACGAAAGAAAATGGGTATTCATGAATTAGACAAAGTTTGCCGATCTCCAGATTGAAAACGTCCCTATTCCGAGAATTTTCGTAAATAAAATATTTTTAAGTTACAATGAAATGAAGCTACTCACGAAGTTTTAGGCGGATGTTAATAATTTGATAAAAAGGGGTCTGTACCACGGACTATTCATTATGAGCGAGATCTCCTTACGCGTATAAAGGAGATGATCATTAGGTTAGTAATTTGTTCCTATTATGAATTCTTTAATATATATATTTTTTATTTCTTCATACATGTTACTGTTATGACGGTTTAGATGCATCATCACGGCAAGGTGTCGACTTCTTGGATGATATGTATTTTAGATATCGTGGCGGATAGCATACGCTTTTTATGACTTGGAAGTTCTCCTGTGAATCTGTGAAGAGCAGCAAACAGGAGACCCACGCATTGCACATAGATTCAAGAGGGTGTGAAGCATGATCTTACTTAGAGGTACCTTCAAGGGATGTAATTATATCTGTACTATAAATTTTAAAAAAGCTGTACCACTAACAACCCATAACGGTCTTGGGTTCAGTACAATGTGAGGAAGTACTGCTGTTACAAGGCCAAAGGTTGTGCAGAGAGTTGATTGGAGCGAAATGACGTACAGCCGACAGGTTTTTCCCTTAATTAATTATTTAATTATGAGTATCCATTTTATAGAGGCTGGGTGTACCGCAGGAGGGCCTCCAGATCCCTAGGTCGATTCACGACTGATGAAAAATTACCTTCATCTACCGGATTCGAACCTTGTACCTTGAGCTATGGAAGTCAGTACTCATGCACTGAGCTATCCCTCTCCCTTTTTACTATACATAACACTTGATAATAACTGCGGACGATATTTACGAGAAGATTTTTCTTTTTCCTAACACACTAGAATGATTGTTAGAAGCAGTTTTATAAGTCAGGTTAAGAAGTTGACACACTTGGAAAACGTGGAAACGGAATAGAACAAACAGAAGGCGACTAGTAGAAATGACGAAGAGAAATTGGAGACTGCATAGCTCAACACAGCGTTACAACCGTCGTGTATGGACAACTAAGCCGCCGCATTTAACGTGATTGATTAATCAATTAGCTATACACCCTGATGACCGCAGGTTGTGGTCTCATCCAACCCTAATGGTATATACCACTCCACCCTTCTTCGCTACTAATTTAGTATTGATTCGATAAGGATCATTCTTGTTAGCCCTCAGATTACAGCTAACACCCCAAGTAATTGAAAGGTATTAGTTTCAATGTTTTTTTTCCTCTTTCATCTTAATTTTATGTATACGTTTAAAGAAAACTATATGCGGGATCTAGGAGGAGCACTCCTGTTAGAAGCGAAATTTTGATTTGCTTCGATATGCGAGAATAAACAAATCAGCTTAAATGAAATCAGACCAAGCAGATTTACACACGCCTTCTACAAACACCTATTAATTTCCAAAAGAAAAAAGAACAGCACTAGGGGAATGGATTTTCTAAATCTTAAAATGCATGAAATAATAAGGAAGATTATTAATTACTCACCAACATGCACTATTTTCGTTGAAGCTAGTTCTTTTAGAAGTTGTGGGACGATAGGATCATTTTCTCGGTATAAATCCAACTTAGAGATACCATAATGAAAGTAATCCAAAACAGTCATATTTCGCCTGAAAAAATAAAAACAAATTCAATTAGTCAACAAGCAATAAAAAAATAAAAAAATTGTAACTTTAATTCTAGTAGACCATTGCACTTATTCATTTCCGTTTCAGGTACTAGAATAGATAATGAACAATAATAATTGGATGAAATAATATTATTTAAAAATAAAGATTTTTGAGATTGTTTTGTTTAATTGACACAGTTAATTACACATTTTTTTAAATAATGGATTTGATATATATCTAAAGTATTCTCCTCAACTCCTCTCTCAGTTTTTACCAATTTTATAGCGGAATCTCTCTGATTATTCACGTGATACAGTTAAAGTGTATATCAGAGCAGTTGATATTTACTGTTGGCATCTTTTTTTTTGTTATTTTAAGAAAAAAAAAAAAATTTTTTTTTTTTTATTTATTTATTTATTTTTCTCTTATGATATGCGGTATGATCAGCAAGTGATGGCCAGTAAGGTACCCAAGAGGTCTCGGTCAGACGGAGTTAGCTCACCAGCCAAACAAAGGACTCGTCGCTGCCTACGAGAAATACCTCCAGTGACCAAAATGAACACTTCAGAACCAGAACCTCAGCCCCAACCAGGTACATCTGCACAAGAAACGATTGAAGAATCACCTTTCTTTACTCCAAACCCCTACCAAGTGCTTCAAAATGACAGAGAAGTAATGGAGTCTGCAGCAATACCCAGAGAACCAAAACCTCCTCCGATATTTGTGAAAAATATACAAAATTTCCAGATGTTCTGCACCCAACTAAATAAAATCTGCTCTGGCAGTTATTCATGCCTTAACAGGACCAATGACACCAAAATAACACCTGATTCTGCAGAAGCCTACCGAAAAATAGTGAAGTACTTATCAGAAACAAATGCGAATTTTCACACTTACCAGCTGAGGCAGGAAAGAGCTTTACGAGTAGTGATAAGAAATTTACATTCCTCAACCCCCACTGAAGTTATTAAAGAAGAACTAACGACGCTTGGTTTCAATGTACGCCAGGTAACAAACGTTTTGAAGGAGGACAGGGAGCAGCCAGGATTACGAAATAGGATCCCACTACCATTGTTTTTCGTGGACTTGGAGCCATCACCAGGTATCGAAAAAATATATGATATCACAAGAATATACTACACAATGGTGAAAGTTGAGAAGCCATATCCCAAGAGAGACATCGTGCAGTGCCATAATTGTCAGACCTATGGCCACACGAAGACATATTGCCACCATCTGCCGCGTTGCGTGAAGTGCGGTGAACAGCACAAATCTGTAGAGTGCATCAAACCCATACAAGATCCAGCAGTATGTGCCCTATGCTTGGAGGGACACCCGGCCAACTACAAAGGCTGCCAAATTTACAAGAATCTCAAAACCAGACACCAGAAAAACCGGATTCAAGATGAAGCACTAAGAACAAGAAGAGAGAGAGAGCCTTCCAGAATTGTAAACAATGATGTATCATTCTCCCAACTACTTAGAGGTAAGACTTTAACCGATAAATGTCAAGCCCTGCCACAACAAAAACCTCAAACCCAACCTCAAAATCCTCTTCATCCTATTATCCTATTATACCTAACCACCAACAACAAATTCCTCCTCCTTCAAATGCAACAGATCTCACAAGTTTGTTAGCATCTTTCCTTACCGATTTCAAATCCCTTGTTACTCCACTCATATCACTCCTCACGAATCTCGTATCTCACCTCATCCCTCCTTTGAAAAATCCTTAAATGACTCACATCCCTAAACCCGTATCCATTCTCCTTTGGAATGCGAATGGTGTTAGAAATCATACAGACGAACTATCTACTTTACTACTTGACAAGAACATTGATGTGGCACTAATTACTGAAACTCGACTAACCACTAAACAGCACTTCAATATACCACAATACCTGACATATCGTACTGACCACCCTGACGGAAAAGCACATGCCGGTACTGCTGTAATTGTACACCAATCCCTCTCCCATCACGTACTCCCATTACCAATACATGATTTCCTACAGTCCACCGCTATCGTGATAAAAACCTTCTCCTTTCCGGTCACTCTTGCATCAGCGTATTGCCCTCCTAACCGATCCATATCCAATGCCCAATTCAGTTCTCTCCTCGACTCCTTAGGACATCACTTCATCTTGGATGCAGACCTAAATGCCAAGCACCAACAATGGGGTTCCAGAACGACGAATTCTCGTGGCCGAACCCTGCTGTCTGCACTCAATTCCCAACGTTTTCACCTCCTTTCCCCCAACTCTCCTACCTACTGGCCCACAGATCCCAACCGTAATCCTGATCTTCTTGATTTCTTTATTCACAGCGGCTTAAGTCCCCTCAATTGTTCCATTACACGTCTAAATGAACTTTCCTCTGACCATAGTCCTCTAATCCTTAATGTTTCACTTGAACCTGTTCCCAAACCTTCTCTACCGTCATTCATTAGGGGCCCAGTAAACTGGGACCTTTTCCGCCAAATAATCTCCGATAATATTGATCTCAACATATCCCTCAAAACTCCCGATGACCTTGATAGTGCCGTAAATTCCTTTACTACCACAATCCAACAAGCCGCCTGGACTGCCTCCTTCCCAAAAGACTCCTCCAGAATTCCTATAAAGACCATTCTACCCCAACACCTCCTTAACCTAATCCGCACCAAACGCCGTGCCAGATTATTATGGCAACGTACCCGACATCCTACCGACCGCTGCTCCTATAATTACTACTGCAAACAATTAAAACTGGAATTAGCCACCTTCAGATCACAATCCTTCAACTCCTACCTATCCTCCCTCTCTTCTCGCGACAATTCCCTTTGGAAAACCACAACAAAAATCCTAAATCCTCACCGCATTTCCCATCCTCTCCGACGCGGTGATGGCTCCTGGGCAGCATCTGACGAAGATAAAGCTGAGGAGTTCGCCATTCACCTATCCAATACATTTATTTCACATCCGGAATCCCATCCTGCCCACACCGTAACAGTAGAAGAACTCCTTACATCACCAATCCCACTTTCCTTGCCCCCAAAAGCTATTCATCCTTCCGAAGTAAAATTTCAATTAAAAAAACTAATCCCCCGTAAAGCTCCTGGACATGATCTCCTTACACCTCAAATCCTTCGACAACTTCCATCCAAAGCAGTCATATTCCTTACATATATCTACAATTGTATCCTACGCACCACCCACTTCCCTCTGTTATGGAAACACTCCACTATTTTCCTTTTCCCAAAACCAGGAAAACCTCTCAATAGCTCAACATCCTATAGACCAATCAGCCTACTCCCAATCCTTTCAAAAATTTTTGAAAAGATCCTTTTGAAACGAATCCTACCCATTATAGAATCCCAAAATATCCCTTCCCATCAGTTTGATTTTCGCTCTCAACATTCTGCTGTTCAACAAGGACTCCGAGTTGTTGATCATATTTCCTCAGCCCTAGAAAACAAGGAATACTGTTCGGGTGCCTTTCTGGACATTGCACAGGTATTTGACCGGGTATGGCACTCCGGACTGCTCTCCAAGCTTAAAATCCATTTACCTCAGTCCTTGTACCTAGTCCTCCGATCCTACCTCTCTGACCGCTCCTTTCGAGTTCGCTGTGGACCAGAATTTTCCAATATCTACTCCGTTAAAGCCGGTGTTCCCCACGGCAGCGTCTTGGGTCCCGTGCTTTACATCCTCTTTACTGCTGACATCCCTGTTCATCCCGATACTTTTCTTGCAACATTCGCTGACGACACCGCAATCTTATCATCCAACTCTGATCCCGAAATAGCATCCTTAAATCTCCAAAGTCACCTCACCTTGAGCACTGGTGTAATAACTGGCGCATTAAAGTTAATGAATCTAAATGCCAACATATTACCTTTACACTCCGACGCAATTCCTGTCCACCAGTACTCTTTAATTCCATCCAGCTTCCTTATTCAGACACAGTCCGGTATCTTGGCTTTCATTTAGACCGAAGACTAACTTGGAACCCGCATACTAGACTCAAAAGACAAGAACTCAACCGACGATACGGCCAACTATACCGACTACTAAGCAGAAAATCTAAACTTTCCATTGAAAACAAGCTACTGATCTACAAGACAATACTGAAACCTATTTGGACTTACGGACTAGAACTGTGGGGATCAGCAAAATTTTCTAACATCAAGCGCATCCAATCCTTCCAGTCTAAAGTCCTTCGAACAATAGTCGATGCTCCTTTCTATGTATCCAACAAAACCCTACATCATGACCTTAACATCCCATTTGTCCTAGACCTTATCCCAGAAAATTCTCCAAATTTCACCAGAACCTTACTTACCACCCAAATCCTCTTGCACAATCCCTATCAAGCATCTCCCATCCCTATAATCCTTCAAGAAGGTTGAAACGGCAGTGGCCTCGCGACCTTTTGTAGATTATATAAATTGGAGTTCTGGCAATGGCCAGATTCTTCACTCAAGATATGTGTGTATGTGGCTAAAGTGCTCTCGACCAATCTCCGCTGGCTTTAGTACCAGTGACGCGGTTGGGAGAGTAGCGCAGGGTTCTCCTGGAGTTCCCTCGCCTGATTGTATATAGTTATGCATGTGTATTTTTTTCCTTAGTTTTAATTTTCTTATTTTTAAGGTTATTTTATTTTATTGTCTATTGTATATACTTTTGATTATTATTTTGTTCTATTTATTTTATTTTTTTGTACATATGGTGTGAATGTCATCCTACCTCACTATAACCAATGTCCAACAGACAGATTGTTATAATACTAAAAAAAAAAAAAAAAAAAAGTATTCTAACGAAATTGAATCATTTTCCGTTTTTTAATAATTCAAAATCCTATTCTGAGCTTCTTCATTTCTATCCTAAATGTATTGTATTGTACAAACTCTTTCAGACATGTAAGACATTCATTATTAGTAAAATACTTTTGGCGCGATAAATCTAGACATCTTTTTCAATTCCACTGCAAATATCGTAAATCACCACCTTTTCTTTCCG